TATTTACCACAAGAGTACTTCATATATTTCATGTATTTAAAATAATGTTTACAAGGCTAAAGTATTTATATACAATCACACTAACTGTTACTAATCTAACTAAAACACTAAATGATTAATAATAAACTAACTGACTAAATAACTGGCAGCTAACTATATTTGGCCCCGTTAGATGGAAATTAGCAACCAAAAAGTTGAAAGAAATAATATTGTAGTTTGATTAAATGCCAAATAAACTTTAGGTCTGAATGAATTTTAAAGATACCGAATCTAATAGCCAAGGGATTTTTGAGTATTCATAAAATAAAAATAAATTTGGCGTAATGTAATATTCAAATCAAAGTTCCCTCTAGAAAATATCGACATGGGAAATATAATAAAGGTTAAAGGTTTAAAGGGTAAACTACTCTGCGTGTCACTAAAATATTAGGGTGATTTTATTTCAACCATTAAAATATAAAATTTATCAGTCAGATTATTAAACTATTAAAATAATTTCAACCAAGTCAATCAAAGATGTAATAGTCAAATAGATTGATTATCCATCTTTTTCTCATTACTTATATAGTTAGATATTCTATTAATGTAATCTTAATTTAATTAAAAATTAATATTTTTTACTATCACATCAACAATTTAATTAATTATACAAATGTGTAAGTATGCAACTATATAAATTTTAATTGATTATCGTGAAAAATGAATGTGTAATTATATAAAAATATTAATTATCACTTCAATATTTTATTTTAATATTTTTTGAACTAATTGAAAAAATCATAATTGAGTGGTAAAATAAATTCACCCTAATAATTTAGTAACCCACATATAGTTTGGTCAAGTTTATATTGGGTACTAATTTTTTAGAGATGATTCAATGAGGGTATGATGTTTTAAAACGATTAAATATGAAGTTAATGTTTTTGAGTTAGATTAAATAAGAGACTATATCACACTTTAACAATATTACTTGTAATACACGTTCTTAAAATATAACTTCCACTTTAAATTGATTATGGGTCAATATATGTAAGAATACTAACGTAAAAAAGATTTTTTATAATATTGGAGTAAATACAAGAATATATATATGTTTAAAAACTTTTAATCATTTGACAATGAATGTTTATATATATATATATATATATATATATATATATATACACGCGGTGTTTGGATTAAGACCTCGATGAATAATAAAAAAATTCCTTAATTGCCGAGTTGGTGAAAAAATGTTAATAAAATCTCAATTAACGTAAAATATCATTAGTTTAGTATGCGGGATTTAACGTGAAGGTAAGGACTTGTAAGTAAAATGACCAGCTTACACACCGATACGCACGCCAAGCGATTTGCATTTACATTCGGAAAGTCCAATTCGACAATTCATTTTCGTTGTCCCCTCCTTGTTTCGTTGACGCTGACCTGGTGGAAGATTTTTTGCTTACAAATGAGAGCAATAATTATACACAAATTCAATAATTGTGGTTTTAAATACCCACATTGTGGCATGTTTATAAGTCCAAAACATTAGGATTTCTTTTGTTTGATCTGAATCATCGTTACGCGTTTCTTACAGGACTTGTACGTGAGAATTGTAACGAATTACACTATGTATGTATGTGTATGCTTTGAGCTTAATTAATGTTATAATAATGGTTGAAATTCTGGATAATCGTTGGCAATCGCGTACATCTCTTTATATATTAGCAATCTCAACTCTAACCTGATTTCTTATTTACGATATTATTTTTAATTTTATCATTGATTATTGGCATAGTAATTACCATAAAATAAAAAACAATATTTTTTAGCTCCAACGTTTGTATTTTTATCAGTTAAATATGTATTAAAAATTATCATTATTTAAACAATATAACTTTTACTTATCTATATTTATAATTTATAAAGATTTAATTGATAGAAAATATAAAAATAAAGATCTTAAAGGTATATTTTATCTTTTTTTTATAATTATCGTATCATTAATTAATGATAAATTTAAATAGGAGAGCCTTAAACTAAAAATAAGATAAGACCCGGTGTCTTAAATATAATGTCAAAAAATTAAATTATAAATTATAAAAACACAAACTTTCGACATATTTAAATAATAACTTTCAGCAAATTTGTTTACAATTTTTTTTTCTTATCATTAGAATTTCAACGTGATTTGATTAGTCAATTCAAATCGTGTTTTTTTTCCAAGTGTCTTCTATTTATTTATTTAACGATTTAGTAAATACAAATCTCGTTGAATCGGATAAAATTATGGTTGTCCCTTGTTCCCATATGTAATGGGGGTAAGGAGAAGGTAAGATAGTAGACTGCCCCCAACACTAGGTTGAGAGCAGCTTCCGTAGGAGACCTCCGAATTATGAAATGCCCTCCATGAGACTCGATCCCACGACCTCAAGGTTAAGAACCTTGTGCTCTACCAACTGAGCTGAATGGTCATTTCAAAATGGTTGTCTCTTGTTCCCATATGTAATGGGATAAAGGGAGGTAAGATAGTAGGCTGCCCCCAATACCAAGTTGAGAACAGCTTCCATAGAAGACCTCTGAATTATAAAATGTCCTCCGTGGGACTCGATCCTACGACCTCAAGATTAAGAACCTTGTGCTCTACCAACTGAGCTGGATAGTCATCTCGAATTGGATAAAATTATGAAGATGATAAAACTCTCCTAGGGAATATTGAATATTATTATACACTTATAATTTTGCACCTGATTAAACTAAAACAGTCCATATGAATTTTCGGTGGTGTCGGAGTGGTGCTTTGAACTCAAGCACTACAGCGTGAGCCAAGCTGGTGAAAACAATTACTAGTTGGGTTGTGATTGGAAATGGGAGCATCACAAGACTTTGGCTCTTGTGTGGTGTTGGTGGATTCCACTAAAGAGTGGCTTGTTGATAAATATACTCTGCTCATCAGGGATTTTGAGTGCTGTTATCTCAAATAAAACAATATTTGCATAATTTTAGAACAAGTTAGTGGGGGACTCTGCTCATCAGGGACTTTGAGTGCTGTTATCTCAAATAAAACAATATTTGCATCATTTTAGAACAAGTTAGTGGGGGACTCTAAACCTATGCTAACTTAAAATAAGTAGTTGAATTTCAACATGTAACTTTATTACTGAACATGTTTCAACGGTGTTTGATCATATTGTTGAAGCCCCAGGAATTATGAGTGGTTTCCATTGATGTCGAACCAATTTGCTTTAAAAATTCATGAAAAAGCGTCCATCCACTCGCCAATCCTTTTCCAAACCCATTCAACTGATAACTGGGCAAGTATTGGGGAAATATATTCTAAAAGGGAATCCCTTTTCTGGTAATTATTCTCCTATCCCATACCGTTTTGCAGACTCAAAAAGGTTGGAAAATCTAGCTCTTCAGAAGAAGAAACCGCCAAGAACATACAATTTTTCTGTGTGTTCGTTATTGAAGGATCCCTCCTCATGATCGTAAACACTTTGCGCATTTCATGCTTTGCTTCTTCTCCAGCCAAGACTACCTTCATAGTTTTCTTAAGGCTTAAATATAAAAGATGTGTCCAACCTATGTCCGTTTTTTTATTTAGTGCCTAACGTTTATTTTGTTTCAGTTTGGTGTCTAACGTTTCATTCTGTTACTCAAACTAGGTCAAACATTGACTGACCGTTACTTTTCACCGTTAAATGACATGTGTCACAATCTCATAATTTTGAAATTTATTTTTTTAATATTAAAAATATAATTATATTTATAAAAAAGAACTCTTATTTCTTTTAAAATACAAAAAAACCTCAAAATCTCTAAAATCCCCAAATCCTAACACTAACCCACCGCTGCACCCCTTTCCGGCCACAAACACCGTCGCCGACGTAGTCCTTGTCATCTTCCTAGTTATAAGTTGTTGTCGATTAGCCGTTGAAATCGTTTGGGATATTGATTTTCATCATAGGGTTCGCGGGATATAAAACGTCGATTTGTCGTTGATTGGTCATTGTTCAGTTATGATTTCAAAGGGGTTTTGGTCGTGGGGGAGGTGAGGTTGGGTGGAGCTTCGTTGATGAAAAAGGGCGACACTCGACGTGAGTTTAGGGGTTGAAATGAAGATTTTTAAAGTTTTGAGATTTTTGAAATTTATATTTTCTTTTTTAAAATATATAATTTTATTTTTTTAATTTTATATAAAAAAATTTAAATTATCATATTGTGACATGTGTCACTTAACGGAGAAAATTAACGGTTCGTCATTGCTTGACTCATTTTGAGTAACTTAAATGTTAGGCACTAAACTTAAAAAAAAGACATAGATTGGGCATCTTTTGTATATTTAAACCTTTTCTTAAACAATTATTAGATTGATGGTGGTGTCCGAAAAATAGCTGTTATGAAGCAGAGCAGTGGGAGTTTTGATTGCATTACAAATATAAAAACAGTAAGAGATTTGATGGCACAGTGAAAATGGTTTTGCATGCTGATTTGATTAATTTATTTTTAGATGAAGGTCATGCTTCTGATGAACCTCCACATCCGATTCTGAAGAAAACGATTCTATTGAACTTGTGGCTGATGCTGATTTTTTCAAAGGATGGATCATAGAATCTACTCCTGGCGTTTTGAAACATTAAAATTTGGACCCTGAAGCGAAACTTATACTCAAGTTTCTTGCTGCTTCTCTTGGCAATAATGACGATACTTGATTGGAATTAGAGGACAACTTTAGATGGCCAAAAGCAAGAACTTGGAGTGCTCTTTGCATAATGTCCATAGAGAAACTCCAATCATTGCAGCGAAATGTACAAAAGGTTTTGCAATTTGGCTAATGGACTGCCGAATGACATCGGCTACTACTTTACGCGATTGTTTATCATTTTACCCAACATTAATTCCGAAGAGGAGTAAAAAAATTTGTAGAAATGGAGAGTAAACTTTACGAAGAAGTAAGCTTGATATCTTCCTTTACTAACATATCTTTGTTATTTACTCTTACAACAGCTTTTGAATGCTTAAATAAAAATTGGCTGATGCAAATAAATTGAGCTCATCTGACCTGGGGAATTGGGTGATGTGTGGCCTCTGAGCTCATCATATGTTGTAACAAAGTTCCTGCCGCTCATGCTAGCAATTAACGGATGTTGTTGTTCACACCACGCTCTGCTATCCACCAGGTTTAAACAACATTACTCGTATATCTCTAAATTGAAATAAGTATTTAGTAGTAAAATTTTATGCGTCATCAATTGATGTATTAAATTATTATTTTTTAGTGATAAAAATATCAATTGATTTTCTTATGTAACTCTTTTATATATAATAATAATAGTAATTGAAGATTTAAGTAAATTGAGGATTGGGTTTGACTACAACTGTCAAACAGTAGGAGTGTAGGGAGAAAAGTATTACGTCGGTGGATCCACAAATGTCCAACAATACATAAATGAATTTGTCAACGCTGTGGGATCCCTAGTCCACAATTATCACAGACGGGTCGCAGCAGAAGTCATCCAGGAGACAGCAACAACATAAAGCTGCAAGGCTGCAAACCAAAATTCATCACAAAAGAATACAATTATAAGTACAGCTCATGCTGAAATATTTATAATAATTTATATTTGGATATTTAACTTTTGATCCCTTAATTTTTATACTTAAAAAATTTCTATTGTTTTGAATCTTTTCTAATATTTAATTTTAGTTTCATCCTTGTTTCTAAAAGCATGTATACTTACAATCCCTCGAGAAAACCCGGTTCTCTCCGGGGTGGCGGTGGTGCTGCTTCATAATACTGAGGAGGCGCCATTACTGGAGGCGGCCCTTGATTATAACCACCTGCAACGGCATGTTATATTCACAGATAAAACTCAGCAAACTGGTTTTTTCCCGAGAAAATGAAAATCCAGAATATTTTCCATTACCTGGAGGAGTATAGGGATAGGGATAGCCGTTTTTGTAGTCGCTCATATTGGGGGAAAAAAAACAGAGAAACTAAAGCGTGAAATTAAGGGAAGAATTTGTAGGTTTGGGGAGCTAAGGATGCAGCCATGGACGTGCACTTTATACACGGCAAAAGAGCGCAGAATATATGCCCCCAAAACAAAGTAGGGAATACAATATCCGTGTTTTTATTTTAATTCCCAGACGTTTTTTTTATTCTTCTTAGTATTTGGTTATAAAGAAAATGGAACCTTACGCAGATATAAGTGTGTCAACGATGACAGCCATCTATGCGTAAATAAATATTATTCGATACTGACGATCTACTTCTTTCTAAAAGAAGCTGCATAATCTTATTATACATGCGAAAATAAATATAAATTTTAAAATGAAATGACACTGTCGACGGCGAATAAAAATAGCGGCAATGAGAGGGGGTGCCAAAAGCTTTTTCTTTTTTGCACTTTATTTCCGATGGAATGCCGGCATTTCCTCTTTCTCTTAAACCAATATTCTTCACACACTCTTTTTTATTAAAATATTCTTTTTCTTTTTCTTGCTTTAAAATTATATCTATTTGATATAATTGTATTCTGAAATTTATATTTTGAATATATCATCGGTTAATTTAATTTAGATATTAAGAGAACGATTCTCATAATTAAGTTTATTTCATGTAGAGTATAATGATTTAAATTCTGATCTTACTTAGAGGTCCAATACCTCATCTCATTAGATTAATTGGCTTACCAATAATTTTTTAATTTTATTTTTAATAAAACTAGTTAAATCAAATCAATATTTTAAAAAAACTTTTCTTAAAGAATTATTGTGAAAAATATTATCGTAACATTAAAAATTTGTATACAATTAATTAAATAATTAGATTTAGTTATTTTATATTAGATAACTTAATTCCATATTTAGATTAAATAAAATAAATATATTACATACACTTTATTATTTAAAATATAGGTTTATTCAATTGTTTAAATTTAGATTTCCAAGATCAATAACCAAATTAAATTAATCATTAAATTTTGAATGAACAAACAATTAAACAAACAATTTTTTTGCTTAATCGGGTCTAATGACTTTTATAAATACGTGAAAAAGATTCATACCAAACCTCCAAACACATGGAGAATAGCTTACCTCTATTTAAACACCATTATTACTTTTCAAAAATTCATTTTTTTTACCGTACAAGAGACAAATTCTCTCATCATCGCTTACTTGAGCAAGTAATTCCACCTACAATCTAGTTGGCACTGCCCCCTATTGATGGACTCATTATTAGAATATAGTTTTCATCTATCATATCGGGAATGTCTCAGGAAAGGTGGGTTAATATACGGCTAATATACAGCATTACCGGATACATTAAAATGTATTTAATAAATTCGGTTTAGCGGTACCTATTATGTTGACAACTAATAATGTTTTAGGTAGAAAATATGAAAAACTATTAAAAAATTTGGTAACCGGTAAACTTTGGTTATCGGTAAGTATCTATCCTTTTTATAAAAGTGTCCATACTTTTAACATATCAAGTAAATTTTACCGGTTTTGTCATAATGAATCTGGTTTTGTCATATTTTTACCTGTTATATTGTAAATTATCTATCCTTTTTATAAAAGTGTCCATACTTATTTCACTGTGAAAATATATTTATTATTATCTTTAGTTAATATTGTTAAATTTAAAATCTAAATAATATTTTATAAAATATCAAAACAATCAAATAAAATTTTGTGTAAATTAAATTATTAAATTAATATTGTAGGTGGAAAACATGAAACACTATTAAATAAATTGAAACATAAATTACATAACTTTAAAAGCAGTTTTAAATCCTAAAAAGTGTCGATACTTTTAAAAAATATATCGATCCAAAACGATATACCAGGTAAAAATATGATAAAACCGGTAACAAAATGATAAAACCGGTAAATTTAAAAGTGTCGATACGTTATATAAGGATCGACACTTTGTGAATTTAAAAGAGAAGCAGTTATAGCGCCTATAATGTGTCGATACTTTAAAAAAATATATCGATCCACAACGATATAACAGGTAAAAATATGATAAAACCGGTATCAAAATGATAAAACCGGTAAAATGATACCGGATATATTGAAAGTGTCGATACTTTCGTAAGTACGTGTAATAAATTATCGACACTTTCAAAGAAATAGGTAATTATCCTTTCGAAAGTATCGACACCTGACATAAAAGTATCGACACTTTATATTTGTATCGATTAAATATAAATAACATATCCGATGAAAATATAAAGGCCATAGCTAAATATCCTCTGAAAAAAGATAGAACGGACGAGTTTTTGAAATCGAAGAGTAATTGTTGCTGCATTTCAGAAGGCGTTTCTAAAGCGAAGTTGTTTGTTTGTTGCTGCAGTCGAATCGAAAAGTATGTTGTCGAAACCCTAATTTTTATTATTACAGTAATCGCGATAGGGTTTTTATGTGTTGATTGGGGTTTTGGAGTAAGGAAGCATTTGGGACGATTGCAGGTAGAAATAGATATTCAAGGAAAAATATAAATGTCGATACTTTTATTAAATATTATAGGTAGAAAATGATATATAGGTTGTATAAATGTGACGACACATTTTGGTGTGGCCATCAAATTCTTTTGAAGAAAACCGTTTTACCACAAGAGTAGTTATCTATATTTGTATATTGAATAAAGTGTATGTAACGAAATAATTTGATTTGCGTAAACTGATATATGAAGGAAAAATGGAGTCAATGGGTTGGAAAATTGTTGGTGGAGCAGATGACTTTGAATTGAGGCCGAGACTCGAAAGCAACCAAAGGGTGGATATATGTACTTCTAGTAAGTATCAATGTCCTTTTGTTATTATTGTTGAAATGGTAATTGGATTAAAGTATCGATAAACTTAAATTGATTACAAATTTTAAATGTTAACAGTATGGCCGAATGCAAAAGGATGAAGGGAGATGGCACACAGAGCGGTTCGGTATGTAAATGAAATTGACATTGAGTAGTATTAGTATTTAGTGTTATGTATTGATTAAGAAACGTTTATGTTTAATATTAGGTGAAAAAAGATGTGAGGTCCAAATGGAATTCAATGAGTGATGCTGAAAAGGAACCTTACATCACACAGTCAAGGAATGATAGTAAGAGTACAAAGAACGGAGGAAAGCACTAGAAAATAAGGTATTCATTAAACTTGTAATACGTGATACAAAATATATAAGAACTATAACATTATATATTGTTAAAAAATGTAGGAAGTGTCGACAAGATGCAGCATTAAAGGGTGAATTTATTAATTAAACACCTTAAGGAGAAGGATCAGTTGAATGTGTGGGAGAAATAGGTTTTGGATCGTTGATCGGAGTAAGGGATCGACCTATTCGGAGGGAATTGTGTCGATCCTTGATGGCACAATTTGACGTCAGTCAATGTATGGCTACGTATGGTGATTATTCATTCCCTCTGGGGGTATCGACTGCTGCAGCCGTATTGGGGGTACAAAACAAAGGCAAAAGTGTTATAGAAGTCTGTAGGAGTAAGAACTGGAAAGCACTTGCCTCCAAATATGGTTTGAATCATAAGGTGACATATGCTGAAGTTGAAGAGGATATCAAAAGTGGATCTTACTGGGGGGATGAGCTGAAGGCCCGAGTTCTATTGTACCTTGTCGGGATATTTCTTTGTCCACGGGTGATACGTCAACGAACAAGGAATATATGAAGCTCATTTGCGATGAAGGCTTGAAGGGTGAATTCAATTGGGCTGAATATATCCATTCGAGATTGATTGAATCAATAATCACCTTTAAAAAGGGCAGCCAGAGATACCTCAAAGGGTGCATAGCAATCTTAGAGGTAAATGAGTTGAATCACTTTTTTGTGTTTTTATATAAAAATATAAATTTTATTATAAATGCAGGTTGCACTGTTCGATTTTGGTCGGGTGTGAGGCAGTGCCGGCTTATGAAAGAACCGGAGTGGCACGCATCCGTGCATGGGGGAAGGAAGAGGTGGTAGAGTGATGGTGAAGTTGAAGTTGGATAGGGGAAGAAGCAAGAAATGGTAATAAATGTAATTAAATAATATTAAGAATATAATCAATGTCTTAATATTGTAATTAATTTTGAAGGTTATTGGCAAGGATGTAGAGGAGGCAGTGGAGGCAGAGGAGAAGAAAGGAGGGATGGTTGTATTGGGGGATGACGGTGATGGGACGACGGTAAAGCAAAACAGAGTAACTTCGACATTTTGATGTCTGAATTGGCTGATATCAAAAAAATCCAATTTGAAATCATGCAAGACAATCAAGAGTCGAAGAAACTTGATCAAGTCGTAGAAACTCGAGAGAGTCGAAGATACACTCGAGAGGCATAAGGGGGTAGTGGAAGGAAAAATAGATGGAGTGGTGAATGAAGTAGAGGTGTTGAGGGGTGAAGTGGTGAAAGAAGTTGGGGTGTTAAGGGGTGATATTAAGATGGTGACGGGAGAAAAATTTGAGGGAGTGGTGAAGGAGGTTGTGGTTTGAGGAGTGAACTCACGGGGGTAAAGGGGGTGGTTGAAATACTCGGATGAAGGAGCTCAATTGAAGGGTGAAATAAAAGAGATGAAGAGCTATGTAGAAAAAAGTATGATGAACTGAAAAAATATAAGAAGAAAAGAGGGAGGAGGAAGAAGAAGAGATGGAAGAAATGAGGAGGAAGGAAGTCGATGTCATTTATACACCGGAGAGTGTTATAGCAGCAGTTTTGGATTCGGAATGTCCTGCACCCAGAAGAAGAAGCAGAAGGTAAGTTTAATAAAAGATACTTAATTTGATTTTTATTATGTTGTTGTGACAAAAATTTGTATGCAAAATTGTAGGTTGAAAAAGCGGATATTCCAAGCGGAATTGATGACATCGAAGCTGCAATTTGTGATTATTTATGGAATAGCGAGTTAGAATCGGGGTAAGTGAAATATATTGTTTTGTGAGTGATATTTAAATATTTCATGACAACATATTAATCCTAATGATTCATACAGATATTCTGTAATCTCAATGGGAAATCAATTCGCTACTGTATACGAC